TGAAAACTAGTCAAAACAGACGGGTAAGAGTCAAAAAATGATGGACAATCGCCCCCTGACGTTTGTTTGACTATTTGTGAATGCTCCTCATGTAGAAGAACATGCCCGATTTAACACTTGGTTGCCCGAGAAAGGACTGAAGTTGTGCTCTCGCCGAGGCGCCACGCCATGTTCCCTGATAGCGCTTCACCAGAGGGTTCGAACGATGGTGAAAGACCACAGAAGAGCCCCACAAGAACACCGTCAGCCATAGACCGCACATTCCGCCAGCCGTGTCGCCTGAGACTTCTTCCCAATGTGTTCAAGAATCGTGGCCTCGCCTGCATGCCAGCTGCATGCTTGGTCTGGATGGCCACGATGCATTGTAAGACATACGCTGAGGTGCACATGGCCGTGCTCTCACACCTGTCCCGGCTGCACCATCTCTAGGAGTCCCTAAGAATGCGTAGGATTGCGCGTTTCCGCTGGCCGACCTCCTTCTCCGCGACCCGCAAATGCACCGTTACTACTGTTTGGGGGGCTTTGCTGAGGCAGCTGTTGAAAATTGCGTCGCTCCCGTCTAGAATCTTTTCATTTGAGGCGGTAATAGAAGAAGAGCCAACGCCATAAACATACACTTTTGGCGCTCCGCGCAAATTTCTTGGGTCTGCGCTGGGCCCCCCTGGCGCGTGGAGCGCGCCAGGCGCGGCGCTGGAGGCGTCGCCGGGGGGGCCCAGCGCGGATCCAAGAAATCCGCGCGGAGCGCCCAAAGGTGATGTTTTTGCCAATGTTTTCTCATTCGAGGTAAAGGTGTTTGGTGGGGAGGGGGGGGGGCGGGCGGGAGGGCATCACGTGACGCTACTCCCCCCCGCCGTCGTGCGGGTCCAGCACCACAGACTGAGGTGCCAGACGCACTGCGGCAGTCGCCGGCGAGCGAGGGGGAGAAGTGAGCAGGGGCGGGCCTTCTCAGAAGGCTCGGAAGCCCCCTGGCCGTCCGAAAGTGTGTTGAAACCTTACCCAAGGACACAGAAAACTTCGCAGAAGGCGCACGGGCTTCTGAGAAGTCCCGCCGCCTTCTCCTCCTCGCTTCCCCCGAGGCAGTGGTTGTCGTCGTCGTCGTCGTCGTCGACGACGACAACCACAACGGCTCGCCACCGAGGCAGTGCCGGAGCGTCACCACATTCTGCGGGGGAGGGGGGCACAACGCGCGCTCTGGCCCGGGGGTCTCAAAAAAAACCCTTCCCTGCCGTTGGGGTGACTTGCTGGGACGGCTGTTGTGAATCGCCCCGCTCCCAGCCGTGCGCGGCCCTTGTTCTGCCACATCGTCGTCCGCGGAGCCGCGCGCGCGTGCGCTGGCCTGTCCCAACAGCAAGTCGGGCCAGTATTGGGTCGTGTATATCTGGGCAGGCGCGTTCCGCGACTCGCAGAGTCACTTGCAAAGGGCCTGGCTTCGCCGAGGGGGGCCTACGACCTACGATGTATCACACCGAGGCGAACGTGGGTTTTTCGGACGCTTGCGAGTAGGCACTTTGCGAGTAGTGGAACGCGCTCGGCGAATATCATGGAAGGGGTGGCGACATCCGAACCCTGCCCCCGCCAACCACGGACTCTCCTGAATCGATGGGAGCCGGGGGTCAGGTTCGAATCCCACCAGCCCTCTGGGCGCAGGTGGTCCAAAGAGCTCTCCCCTTCGGGGAGGGGTTTGTCACTGTTCCTGATGAATACACCCCCTCCCCCATGCGACCGGGGGCCGAACCAACACCATGCCGACACCATGCCAACACCATGTCGACCCGCTCCCCACCATCCCTTTCAACAAACAATGCAAACCAGACTCTGCCTCCACATTTGGAGCATGCGCGGTCAACCCGATGCGGCCCCCCCCCGACCATCCCTGTCAAAAAACAATGCAAAGTACACTTTGGGGCAAAGTCTTGAGTCATGTTCGTGAGGCCCGCGAGCACTGTGTCTTGCTTTTTGACAGGGACGGCCGGGGTGTCAGCATATTGCCTGCTTTGCGCAGGGCTACCATCCCTGACAAAAAAGAATACAACACATGCACCTCGCGGCTAAATCTGGATCATGCGCGCCCATCCCGCGATGACTGTTAAGAAGTTTTTGACAGGGACGGCGGAGGTGGTGGCGCGTGGCCTGCAGTGCGCAGGCCCACCAGAAACAATGATGGTCATCGGTCTTCGACAAGGATGGCGGGGGCCGACATGTTTCCCGATGTGTGCTGTCACGTGCGCAGGCGCACCTGACGCACTCTACACGTGCCCCCGACGCGGCACACCTGGCGCGGCTGGAGTGTGCGGCACACCTGGCGCACTCGGAGCACGTGGCGCATTTGCCGCACCAGGGGCGCCTGGCACGCCCGGGCCTCAGGTGTGCCTGGCGCGCGTGGCGCCCATGGCACGCGTGGGGCACCTCGCCCGAGCGTCGCGCACATGGGGTCGGCTTTGGTTCCCAGTAGCTGTCCATCCAAAGACGACCGCTGAACATGCTCAGGCTCGGGTGCTACTTATGTGTTGGGAGGGCGGGTTAGAGTGAGCTAGACGGCTTGCTATCTGGAGGGTGTCTTGACCCCTATACCCCTACCCCCTCACCTGGACCTGGACGAAGGCGTTCGCGACGCGTTGGTGCGTCCAAGACGGCCCAAGACGGCTCCAAGAGCGCCTCAGAGAGCTCAAGATGACCTCCAAGATGGCTCAAGGTAGCCCAAGATGCCCCAAAATGGCTCCCCAGATGATCCAAGAGGCCCCAAGAACGCTCCAAGACTGCTCCGAGTGGCCACGAAGCTTCCCCAGGAGGCCGCCAAAGACCCGCATCCTTTAAAATCCACGGACAATCCATGAATTGTACCTTCTCACCTTTTCGCTTCCAATGGCCTTCCGATGCCTCAAGGCAGCTCTAAGAGGGCCCATGTAGGCCCCAAGAGAGGCCCAAGAGAGCCCCAAGACGGCCCCAACAGCGCCCAAGAGCGTTCCAAGAGCGCCCCAAGAAAGGCCCAGAAGCGATTTTCAGGGGTCCGGAGGGGGGGACGTAATTAGAGTTCCCGTTTTTTTGATCGGCCTCCTTTTGGATGGCCCCAAGAGCGCTCCCAAGGCTCCCAATGGCGCCCCAAGAGGGCCCCAAGAGGCCTCCAGGAGGCCTCTAGAGGCGCCCAAGAGGCCTCCAGAGGCTCCCAAGAGACCCCCCAGAGGCCCCCAGATGCTCCCCGAGGCACCCAAGACGCCCCAAGACGGCCCCGAGACCGCCCAAGAGTGTCCCTCGAGCGCTCCAAGATGGACCTTTCCTCTCTGTTGCCCACTTCTCTGATCGAGGCAGATCCTCTGGGCATCGTCTCTGGATAGGCTGGTGGGGTTGCGCGAAGCGTCAAGAATTTCGCCACGTGTTTGACGCGTCCGACACGTTTCGACTCGCATCCCCGCCGCCCATCGAGTTGCCTGAGACGTTCATCGGCGATGCTAGAGTTTGGATTTAGCCGCCGATTAAGGTGTGGTGGGAATGAACATGTTATGAGGAACATCCTGAGGCCTCGCGTCGCAATTTGAAACGAAATTATCAAGTCGGATCCACGTCGGATTCGCTTATCATGGAAAGGGTGGGAATGAACAGGGT